AGCTCGGCCGTCACGATAACCCTAGCTGCCCCCCTCGAGTGCGCGCGCATGTTGGCAAGATCTAGGGTAATTTCATGATTCTCACCGGGACGTCGGTCGCTACAAGTTATATCCCTTCCATACACCGTGATCGTGACCGGTATCTCCTCACGGCGTGCCTTAACAACCGATCGAATGCGACATTCACCGCGATGTTTGTCACCGCGAAGGGTACGCCGAGCTACGGTGGCGCCTGCTGCAGACGATGCAGGGTCGTCATTGGGAGAATCGCAGTCTCAAGGTCTTGGTACAAAGCTGTTGGTTTTTGCGTGTTGAACCTGGATGCCTCACCCATCAGCTGGATCTGCAGGGAGTCCCGCGGTGTCGCCATCACCACCTCTCCCGTCCTTACTTGCAGCAGCTGCGAGTTCGTTCCCTTGCTGAGGATCCTGTTCGACCCTCATGCCAGCGTTGAAGGCCTCACATATTCTGGGCCGTCGCCGGAAGGCGTTGTTTTCCACAATCACAGAGAGGCCGGCAGGAGATAGGCATGAAAAGCAAGCGTGTATCTGCAGGACGTGCACCATGAACCCACAGGCCCGTCTGGTTACTATTGTGTTGTACACGTGCTGGTATCGGTCGTGCTGGTAGTCTACGCGGTATACAACGGCCTTTTCTTGGGAACAATGTTTCGTGTTAGGCTTCAGTGATTATCTTGCAAATAGAGTACTAGGGCAACACTCATCATACACTGCAAACGTACTCCATCCGGACGTGTTGTAGTTTCAAACCGTTCCATCATCAAAAAGATGGAAGGGAGACAGCAGTACTCTTTGCAACCTGTTCGTGCTTCGTGACTCTTCCTATCTAGGCCGTTTCACACCCTCTGATTGGTCCGGCGTCGGTTCCTAGCCTTGACCCTCTATTGCGCCCTCGCGCCTTCAATTTTATGCAGCCCACCTCCCGCAAACAACCCGAAAGGTACAAGGTCCGCCGCCGTTTCCCATTTTCTGCGTTGCTGTTGTGAGGGTGGGTCCTACGTAATTTTTTTGGACTCGAACATCGA